CCTATTCTCACCAAAGGTCTGTAATTTCAGAGGTAGTTTGGATGCTTAAACAAGCGTTGGGCACCTGCGAGCTGCTGAAGTGACTCCAAAGCTATGGCTGGGAATCACAAGCCACTCACGTTACCCACACAGTGGCTTCCCCAGGCTCTGATGCCCCTTCTCATTCCTTCCAGCAAACCCCTGGTGACCACAGCCTGTCATGTTGGCTGATCCCAGTGACTGAGGCACAGTCTCATCTCCTTAAACCAAACACAAACAGAGGGCAGCTCTGCAAGTCTGGAGCTGCAACAGCAGAGGTGTGTGGTAAGGTCTCCAATGACTAAGACTTCATTATTTTTTACAAAGTATACTGCAGAATATTTATCCGTGCATTATGATGAATTAGCATAAATAATTAAAACAGAACTCAAATTGGCAAACACATAAGCAAAGGGCACTCACTAATGGACCAGGCTCACTCTGCTGCTCCAGGGACTCACTTAGATACAAGTCCTTGCCAAACAGGCCAAGGAAGGATTCCTATTTGTCTTTCTTTTTACTCCAAACCTGTTCCCATCTCACCCCAGATGTCACACACAGGCTGGAGGTGGGTGAGCACGTCTTACAGAGCATCTCCCAAAGGGGGAAGAAGAAAATAATGGAAAGCCCCCAAACCTTCAACCTGTTCCCCAAGTCCCATGACATTCTTCTCTGCAAACAACACACCTACGATCAGTCATGCAGGAGGTGCTCGCTGGTGCTTCCCAGAAATGCTGATGATTTGATGGGTCGCATGACTCTGCCTCCTCTTTTTATTCCAGGTATTAAGCAGTACTGAAAGAAGATTACATGGCAAATAGAGAAGGGTTCTCTCATGTTCCCCATGGTTTCCCCCTCTCATCAGCAGGTAGACATGATGATCTACACCAGCAGAGTGCAGCTGATATTGCACACTTTCCCAAAAAGAAAAATCTAATCCCAAACCTTTTCCTGGTCTTATTTTTCAGTGAAAGTAAAGGCTGCAGTTGTCTCAGAAGATAGTATGAAAACGAGAATATATCCTAGATACCTCTCCTTCAGCCTCTATTTTCTTTGTCAGATTGAAAATTTTCCGCAAATTGCAGTTCCAAACTTGATCTGTTTTATGTTATCTTTCTGGACTCTGTTCATTATCCACCAAATACTTCGTGCTTACAATTAAAAATAAACTGGAAAAATCAAAATCTTACTTATTTTCAATTCTTCATTCTATTCATTAATGCTTCAGTGCATAAATAAAGCATTTGGATGGTTTGTGGACGTGGACAGGTCTTGAGTCTGTCTCCCTGTCCAAAGTACACATCCCACGAGGTACAACCACAGGGGTTTCCTACAATATATTGTGCTGCCTAACACAAAGGGAAATACAGTACTTCATGGGAACATCAGTTATTCCCACAGTGACACGAGCTCAGGAAAGAGCAGGGATAGATTGTAGCCTGACCTGCAACCCCCAAGAGACATTTCCAAATCTCAAAGGTTAAAAGATATTTTTTTTTTTTATTTTATTTCATTTTATTGAAAATGTTCAGCAGGAGTTTAGCCTTAGAGAGGTGAAATTCTTCTTAGGAAAAACAAATTTCTTTTACCAACTATGCTACTAAGACATTGCCATATTGCCAAGAAGTCCATCAACCCTGGTGTCCCAGCAAAGCGAAACTAGATGGGTGACACATAAATCTCCTGTCCAGTAGAGCTGCCAGAGAATAAATGTTTTCAGATAGGAAAGGAAACAGAGTCAGCTTCTTTAGGGAACAACTCCCCAAGGATAGGCTTGGACAAACTCACTTGGACAAACAAGAAAGAAGGAAGAATTACAAAGAAAGTATCTCATGCTACTTTCTGTAAATCACTGCCAGTGATAGCTGAATGTTAAAGTTGCCATCAGGAACCTTTCCCTTTCTCCCCTGCATTTCTGTCCCTAGGGCTTGGTAGGGCCTGATCACGTTCATGCCTTCTCCTTGAATTATGTCAATAGACTGAATCATTTCAGTAGATCTAACACCACCTGAACTAAAGCAAGAGTTTACAACAGGCACTGCTCAAGTCTTATTTATGTGCACATTATAGGAGTGAGATACACAGGGGATCATGACCCCTTTGCAGCCGTATGTGCATTGCTCTATGATTTAACAAGATCCCATCTGTACCACCCTTTTAAAAGTTCTGGTACCCAAAGCTTTTGCAAAGACCTTGGCAAAGCCCGTTCCTGAGCCCCACACAATATCCTTGGCATGTCCTGAAGGTTGCAACCCTCTTCCATCATCAGCTTCCTGCTTCCCAAACCCTGGGATATACACAGCACTGGAGTCCTTTGTATAATTTTTTCATTAAATACCTCTGAATGCTTGGATCTATAAGGAATTAATCACATCCATCCATGCTGCAATTCCTTTTGACTCTCAGCTGTTTATTGTCTGGTTATTTGTATATGAGAGCAACCACCTTACTGGTAGTTTTGAGTGCATGGCATTTATTGCAAAGTTACTCAGAAGATGAGACAAAGTGTAACACGCCACTAAGATAAGAAAAATGGGACTTTTACTGAAGAGTAACACAGGATCAAATTTGTCTATTTTATGGAAAAATAGGCAATCTCTTGCCTTCCCAAGGAAAAGTGTAAACTGTTCTAGTGTGAAAAGTATCACTGGGGGACTGCTGGGATGGCACTACACATTGTCACAGCAGCACCTCCAATACGAGAGGGACTCCTTTAGAGAAGGAAAAAAGGTTAAAAGACAATTCATTTGAAAGCAAGAACAAAGACTTTGGAAACCAACTTAGATGCTGTTTCCCACGGCACTTCTGCTCTCGAGCAGGTCTTCATTCTTCAGTGGCAGGAACAAGCTCTGAAGTCTGTCAGCAAGATCTCGGCACACTCTGCCATCACTCTCACCAGATTCCTTTTTGTAGGGTTTGATCCTACACTGAGGTGAGACTGCACAACTTCAACTGAGTTCAGAAGGAGCTGAGACTGAACAGAAACCCAGTGGGGCCAACTTGGACTGCTGAGCCCCCTGGGGTGTCCTGGGAAGAGACAGGGTGTTTGTGCTCAGCTGACAGACTTCTGTGTTTTACTTCCTTTAAGGATAAGGACTTCTAAAAGTGTTTTGTTTCATTTTCATTAATATTAAACTTGGCATCAATGGTTTTAACAAAGCTGTTATTGACTTCTGTGAGAGCAGGTCAGACTGACATTTCAGTTTTGCAGGACTGAGTAGTCACCAAAGGGAAGTTGACCACACAGTGTCAGGTCCACTCCTAAGAAGGACTGAACCATCCAGATATCCTGATTTTTTTTCCTGTTCTGTGAATCATATTGCATAAGGATCTTAAGGTCAACCACACATGTGGAGAGCTACCTAAAATAAATGTTGCAACTTGGAAATTCTTATACCACTGCAAATAAACGTGAATCTCTCAGCTCACCTGAGCCTCTCCACACACATCCACTGTCCTATTGCCTATATCCAGACACAAGCCTGGGCACAGATTTGACCCAGCTGCCACAGAGGAATGCCAGCTGCTCACAGTGCTCTGCCATGTGCCAAATCCTCACTGATGCAGTGTGTGTGTGGGTTGACCAAGGCAGGATGAAAGGGGTGCCCCTCCGTCCAGACATGGCTCTCCCCAGCAAGAAGCAGCATTATGCAATACTGAGCACGACTGAACAGCAAGCTCTGGACCAAAGAGCCTTCCCGGCGTAACACACTCCAAGTGCTGTCGCTCCCTGCCTGCCAGCACGAGTTTTCCTGTGGCAAAAATGAGCAACAGAACTGAAAAAGTGTCACAGCACCCAGTTTCCACATTTTCATAGACATTAATCTGGAAAACAGGACCTGTGTCCCAAGATGTACTTTATAAATAAACACTGAAAAGGGGGGAGCAGCAATGAGTGAGTGGCACGCAGCAGCACGCCAGTAGTGAACATTTAATTTTAATTCTTGTCCAGGGCTAAATCCTTGCCAACATCATGAAAAATTTGCCTGAAGGTAAAAATCACAGCCCTACACTCAAGGTGTTTATTTGCAGGTGTAAAGACTATGCCAATGATTAGGACTTCCCAAGATCCAGCTCTAGGCTACAGCCCGTGCAGCCTAGAGAGCTTTGTTTGTCTTTGCCAAGTAAACCAGTTTCAGAAATCACTGCTTAAATCCTCTGTCACATAGAGCTGTGTACACCTAATAGCATCAAAGAAAAACAGTACCACCGTGATCACTGATAATCCCTTGGGTTTTCAAACACATTCGCAACATTAAACCTCACATTTATTTTAATAGGACTCTGCCAACTCCATTCTATGCCGTACACAGAATTATTTTTTCCTATGAAAACTTAAAGGTACAGAATTTTTAGGAGTGTAAACCATTCGCCATTCACTTGACTTGTGAATGTCGCAAAACGAGTTTGTTTCCTCTCAGTTCACTTGTGGTCAGTGCAACTTTCTGCCTGACAGTGCTGCAACGCTCAGGTTTCATGCACTGCGGGGTGATGCTTATCGGACCAAAACCCGATGGTTTTCATTTGACACTTTCAACTATTGAAGGCGTCGGTTCGCTCGGGGTTTATAACAGTGAGTTGAACCACACGCGGTGCTCTGGGCTGAGCTGAACTGGCCGCGTTCCCCTGAAGCACTTCGAGCCTTAAAACCGCTCAGAGCTTGGTCTTTCAGGCATCCCTTTTCCAGCGTCTCAGACACAGAGGCTCGGGAATGCCACTCCAAGGCAACGTGGGGGTACGGACAAGACAGGGACTCAGACTTAAAAGCAGCTGCTCTTTTTGGAAAACCCGACGACAGAAAAGAAAGAAATAAAGCCGCTCAGCAGCACACCTCGAATCAGACCCTTGCTCCCACACACACCCGGCGCCGGAGCGAGCCCCTGGAGCGCCTTACGTAGAGAATGATAAAGCAAAACGGTGTCCCCGGGCGCATCCCCCCGGGGCAGCCCCCGGCATTCCCCCGGGGAGCACCGCGTACTCACACGAAGGCGTGATAGAGCAGCGCCCAGCCGCGGGGTCGTTCCAGGGCGTCGTAGATCAAAGTTTGGATGCGGCGGTACCTGGCGTGGTTCCGCTTCACCGGGCGGCTCAGGGGGGTCTTCGCCAGCAGCCCCAGCCCCGGCGGGCTCCGCTTGCCGCCCTCCTCCTTCCCGCCGCCCTCCAGCAGCAGAGTCCCGTCGCGGTCGCCGCCGGCGCCCAGGGCCAGCGAGCCCTGCTCGGGGTCGCCGCCGCTCGCCGCT